TTTAGAAAGTTATTTATTTATTTAACTTTTCATATCATATTAGGCAATAGTGAATACAACAGATTAATTGGCAGTATTATGTTTTTAGAAAAAGACTTTTTATTTGAATATCTTATTATAAACACCTGAATTAAGTCCAAAAGTGGGCAAGTTAATGAAATAATTAACTCAAGTTAAGTTAGGAAAATATAAAATCATAGTTATTTCACTAATCATTAATTTAAATGGTGACTCGATATGCAATTTAAAAGTTAATACGAAAAAAATATTTATTAAACTCCGTTAGAAAAAAAAGTATCTACTTTTTCAAATTAGTATGTAGATTAAAAAATTACTGCATTCTTCCTAATCTCCTTAATTACAATAAACATTTTTATTGAACTTTATCGTAATGTTCAGTGTATATACGATATAACTATTGTAACTTTTACAAGCTTATAAGTCACTTGATAAATAAAAGTAACTTTTAACTTCAAGATAAATTTACATTCATGTATATTTACTTAACTAAGCAAATAAAAAATAAAAATATTAAACTTGCCCAGCCTTGTCTATGGGTATTACACGTTTTACTATTGCCAATTGATTGAAAGATTCTTTAATTTATAATTTGTCGACCATCATTTAAGAAAATATTAGTAGTATTTTACTTAAGATAAATTGTTGGAATTTACATTTTAATCATTAGTGATATTTTTAATATAAAACAAATGAATAATAATAGTTTCATTATATTTTGATAGTACATTATTACTTTTTGTGATGCAATTTTATTAAGAATAATATTTAAGTATTATTTTTTTTTATCAATTATACAGGTGTATTTTAGGTTATATTTTTAAATAAAATAGGTATCTAATCTAATCTATTATATTCTCTTTAGTTACAAGATAATATAACACATTTAATCTTATTGTTCTATTAAAAAGAAAATTTAATCTACGAATGGTACTAAACATCATACTGTAGTATTTTATTTGTTAATACTAAATTTGTAATTGTCGTTGTGTCGTATAGTTATACTTCAATGACTCATAATGAATTTGAACTACCATGAAAAAATTGTAGAAAATGACATAAATTCTAACGACTTTTTAAATAAATGTCTAGAGTTAATTACAAGTTTTTAGTACCTGTGCTTGTTTTAAAACAAAATATGTCAAATGCAAGTTATTGTTGATTTTACAAACAGTTTCATATGTTTACACATAATAGTGATGATAATTATTAATGAAATCAAATAAATCAAAATAATATTTCTAAAAAATAATATTGATAATTATTTGTAATTTATAAAATACCTATTGATAAAATTTAAATGCATAAATAACATAGATTTTTATACTCATAACAGGTGACCAAATCATAAAAAGAAATTAGTGTTAAATTATAATGTTTGTTTTGAAGAATATTTCTTTAATTTTCGTGAAGTATAAAAAAAATCATTTTCTATATCAACAAAATGGCATAATTCCAACAAAAAGAAACGATTTCAACAAAGCTCATAAAAATATTAATAGGTAATTAATAATTGATTCTTTCAACCCACAGAAACATCGATCGAAATTATAAAAAATAAACAGTGGTACCTACATTTGGCGCTCCTATGTTGGCAAGTGTGCAGTAAGTAAATTATAATAAAAGGTAATTTAAAATATCTGCGTCTTTTATTACTAGGCAAAAAAGTCATGTAGTACATCTTACGGTTGTAAATATCACAGCTACATATTTTTGTAAGAGTGTTTTTAAACATTCAAAGAATAGTAAAAATAAAATAACAGTAACTAACAAAAACTACGATAAATGTACTGCATGTTGTATTTCTAGGAACGTATAAAATAGTATAAAATTATTGCAGTGGTGTATACATTTTGGGGGGAGGGTTTGGAAAATCTATTATGGTATTTTTTTTTTTTAATAAACGTACCGATATATAAAAATGATAAAAATTAAAAAAATGTATTGTTTATAATTTTTTAATATAATCGCTCCCAATATCTATGCACGTCACTGTAATATGGATATCGTTCCTATAATATTAATCGGAATGCAAATAGGTGCATACATTATATGCATATACTGAAATCTATGGTTGCATTTTCCAAACAGAAATGTACTAGAAGTTTAATACATATATTTATAGAAAAAATAATTTTTAGAAATGTATGAGTGTTCACATATAAAAAAGATAATAAAGCTATTAAAATAGTTAATCTCATTAGAAAAAAAAAAAGGTAAAATATCAATTGATTAAAAATTCACTTTTATTACTGCTGCACTTGTCATAAGGAGCGTCTAAAATAAATCTATCTAAATTTAAAATGCTATATTATATTTCATTACATAGAAACGTATACACACTATACACAATATAGATACTATATAAGTAAAAACTATAAAATTACATTTATCGTATAATTTATCTACAACAGAGTGTCGAGGATTATTTAAAAAAAATTTGTATCCATATTTTATTATATTATTTTACGTACATAATTATGTTATAATTTTTAATAATATTTTATAACATAATAAAGTTCTACTAATTTAATATAAAATCAAGCATCAACCAGTAATTTATTTAGTTTTATAAATGGACATAATACATAAAATAAATAGAACAATATAACACACAAGCCGAGTGTTGTATATTATCTATTAATTTCTATTGATTTAGATACTATCTATTTTCTACTAAATTGTGACAGTGTTTTAAAAAATATTGGAACAATAATAACAAATAACTACCCCTATTTTTAATAAATTTTCCATTTTCAATGATATTTTGTGCACGGAATTGAAATTTGTAGTTAGGTATACAAATATCTCGAAATTATTATAATATTATCTACCATAATACTGTTTACTTTATGAGTATTATCATTGAGTACAATATAATATATTGTATACATTGTATATTGTATATATTACAAATATTAATATTAATATTTTAATATACATATACTCAATATGGTATACTACAATTTTGTTTTATAACAGTAATAATAATAATAATAATAATAAAAAAAAAAAACATTTATTTATTTCTTAAACTACATAATTCACTTGTCATTAGTATCGGTTTCTAAATATTAAATGTCTTTTAATGATCTACATAATATTATAATTCTTGATTTTGAGTAGTTAGAGCTCTATGTGAGTGCGTTATTTTAAAATGGTTGAGGTATTGGATATATTATATTATGAGGTAATTTAATAACATCATTTTTAAATATTTTTTTTTATGGTCAACCAAATATAGAAAGTTAAAGTATTTTATGTGAAGTCGATGATTAAATTGAATAAATTCCCATTAGGTCAGTCCTCTCTTTAGTTCGACCCTTTGACAAATTTACTTTTTATAAACATGGAGTGGAAAATAGTATTGATGTATTGGGTATAATCAATGACAAAATGCTGTACCTATGTTGTTCATGATTGGTTAAGAGTTAAGACATAACTTGATTACTGAATTTGGTTTAAGAGTAGAAATTCTTTCTACCTACGTTTTCTAAAAAATCGTTATTTTATTATAATATGAAGGTATAACTATATATACCTAATAATAAGGCAATGGAAAATTTTAGTAATTATTTTTATGTTATAGAAATGTATAAAATATATGTGTTTATTTCCAAATTATTAGAAAATTGATAATGTTTACAAAAATGTATACATACACTGTTTATGCAATTATGTACCATCAATATATTTGAAACAATTCTCAAACCTCTTTATTATCTAGCTGGTATTATAATACCATAAATTATAATGCTAACATTTCTAAAAGAAATTTTCACTTAATTCTATATTATAAAATATTATATAAAAGAGTTAAAATTATTATAGCAATGTAGCTATAAATATGGAAACCAAAATCCAAATTCAAAGGCAATTTATACTTAAATCGAAACAAGTAACAACAACAACAACAATAACATAAACGAGGTAGCTACTATAGTTATTGATTTAATTGTCTATAATATATTGCTCAAAATCACCCTGAATTAATTAGGACGGACTGGCAGAAGCCTTTTACTTAACGCGTATGTACCTTACAATTGATATTTTATAATCGAGACTCGATTCATTAATTACCTTAAAAATGTTTAGAAGGTTAGAAGGTATGAGGATAAAMAAAAAACAAAAAAAATTAGAAATTTGGAATGTATAGTAATTGATAACACAGATATTTTGTAGGAATTCACAGCACTGCGCAACATGAATCGTGCGGGTTTATTGACAATAATAATAATAATGATAATAATTGATTATTTTGTCTTACTTGGCATTCTAAGTAGGTAACTATACGTTATTAAACACACGCACAGTGTATCACTAATGGATTTCAATGCAATAGTCTCTTAGCTCGTCTCAACAACGGCTTTAATATAAACAGTTAGGTTGTTGTTTTAAACGAGAATTCATTACGATGTAAGAAAAATAAACCATTATTGACGGATCGCTGTTTACCCGTAGCCTGCAGTTAAAAGCCGAACGTTTCGTTCAACCTAAATGAAAATGGTGATTTTCCGAAGACATCTGGGAAATTCAGAAAAAATAAAGTCTCGTTTGTGATATTGTTGGACTTTCGGGGTCATCTCCTATTAACCAACAATATTATTACAACGAAGGCTGCAGAGGGATGAAAAACATTCTAACTGCTCACAAAAGTATCATTGGAAAAAAAAAATGAACGCGATTAATTGAATGGACGAAAAATATGAATCATCGAAACACAACAGCAGAATAAACACGAAATTTAACTCGTAATGATAACAGCTGGCGTCTAAGACCGATGCCAGTTCTCTAGCGTGTGCACGGTGGCGTGTACTTTTATAATATTATATCATTATTATACTTTTCATGGTTTACAATGGGAGACACCTTACGAGGGTCCATGCTGTATACGAGCCTTCTCCCGTTTGGGACCTGGCGGACTAGAGACTAACCGTGTCAGGGGCGACAACGGAGGTACATCCAGTCTGAAGCTGCATTACCTGTTGAAATGAGTACAGTGACTCCCTGTTGACGTATTTTGTGTTTCGTCTCAGCAGCGAAGGATCGGTGTCGTCTTCGACGCCCACTTCGTATTGGTTGTGACGATTCGGTCTGCTGAGACTGTCGTGGCGTGGCGAGCCGGTGCCGCCTCCACCTCCACCACTGACGTCATCATGTCCACGGGGGTAGGGGGCGTGCGACGACGACGACATGCGATTCTGTGAAAACGACGCCCTGTCGACGACGCTCTGGCGGGCTGTCGGTGGTCCTCCACCGCTCCCTCCAGCTGTGCCACCGCCGCCAGTGCCGTTCTGTCCGTATGGCCGTCTGGGCCCGGCGCCGTACATGCTGTTCTGTGCGTTACCTGGGTACTGGTCACCGAGGCCATTGTTGTTCGTTCGGCTCGGCGGTGGAGGTGGTGGGGCCGAAGACCCACCACTACTCTGGTTGTAACCGTGGTTCTGCTGCTGATGATGGTGCGTTGGGTTATGGTTGTTCGTCGAGTTCTGTCTCATTTCCGGCGTAAGGCTGTTTCGCGGGTACGACTGGCCCACAGAACTCTGTGAATTAACGCCACCAGGCTGCTGCTGCTGCTGCTGCTGCTGCTGATTAAGATGGTTGCTACCAGTCGATTGGTAATAAGGTTGCGCATAGTGCGACCTGGGTCTAAACTGTGGAGTAGTCTCGGCTGCATCCTGCTGACCGCCGGTGGTTGAGTTCAATAAGTTGTTGGTCGACAATGACAGGGACGAGGCGTCCGCTGCGTCCACCGACGATGCCGGTCCGACTGGATTAGGCGAAGGCATTAACGGCTGTAATATTTGTTTTTGGTCAATTGACATGCGCTGTTTCAAAATCTCCCGAAGTCTGGTCTTTTCCAGTCCTGAAAAAGTAAGTACATAATTAGTATTGTTTTCTATTCGACAGTCTATCCCGCACGGCTATCGTCATGTGTATTTGATAGCCCTATACGTTCCAGTATCTCGAGTCCAATTACCGTGACTACACCCATATTTCTACACTTAATTATTCCTGTTTTCTCTCATTCGAGGTTTGCCCATATGGACTCTTGCTCGTAATTTTCGTGTCTAAGTCATGCAATATCTTGTCGTCCTTTCTTCGTAGTTCTTATAATAATATTATTGTTACCGTTATTGAGTTTATCATAACTAATGATATTATACAGACTAATCGCGTAGGAAGTTCTCATCATTTCAAAAATTCATGATAAACAAATATTTTAAATTATTAAAAAACAAAATTTCTCTAGAAAAACATACATTTTAAGTATGTTTTATTATTATAATTTTTAATTTTTAACTTTTTTTTAACGATATTATGTATTTTTAGTTTYTAGGTACAATATTTTTTGGAACAAATACCTACTTGATTTTTAAAAATCAATTTTTGAAGAGCAGTTTATAAAAAAAAAAATTATTTACTTAAGTAATTTGAATATATAAATCTCTCATTGGTTAGGATACAACAATATAATAAGGTGTACAAAAAAACAAAAATCACAGGGATCCGTTCCTTGCGTCACCCCTCAATAAAACCACCGTCATTTTAATTCACAGTACAATATTATACTGTCGTTATTTTAAGCTCAGGTGGTAACAATATTATTACGCACAACGCAGYAGCCTTACACTTAAGAACAATAACTATAATAAAACGTATTTATAGGTAGTATACCGACGGCAAGTGTCTCTGAGTTGCTGAACGTATGAATGTAAATAGTGGAATATTATAAAAAATATTGTTCTAACTACTGTAGGGTGGTATTATAATAATACTATACAATTTATTACATAAAATCACCGTGTTACGCGTTTTGATAAAATATATTTCTGGCGACTCCGAAAAGAAAATATGTGATGAAGTGCGCATAACAAGTAGGTAAAATAAAACAACAAAATATAATATAGATACCTATGTGGATTAAAACAAAAGCGTGAACCTCAATCCGTACGGTAATATTATGTTGTTTGCGTAGCCAATCATATAAATTTAAATTCGCATCACGTCTTTATGTTTACGTATTCTGTATTTTGTGAAAAAAAAAATTATAAAATTGTATCTACGTTTTTCCGGCGGAAAATACAGAGTGACCGCCAAAACAAGATAATGAAATAATAAATTCTTTCACGATACAAATTCTCCAAAACAGTGGATTGAAACCTGAGAGCGCTTCCGGACATTACATTTTGAACTATATCGTTCGAAAACTTCAAACATATTATATATATGGACGATCTTATAATTGGCGAAATATGATCTGATGTTGATAGAGAATACTTCAATCAAAGGTGTCGCAGTTTTCGCGTTTTAACATCATAACGATACTGTGAGTACCTAATAACCTAATAACCTAATTTGACCTACTCAGTAATAAAGCATTTGCGTAACCTAAGCTATGGTAAAAAATTATTTTAAAATATGATTGTGAATAAAGGCACACCTTTTATTTAATGAATGAAAATTAGACGTGGATTTAGAAATCTAAAATTAGGGAAGGGGGCTAAATCATTTTCGGAAAAATGTAAATAATTATTTTATTTTAATGCTTAATAAATTATATAGATACGATTTGATAAAAATACAAACAATTTTATTTATATTGAAATTAATTGATTTAAATGGGAACTAAAGCTCTGTATTGGATTCATATCTTATTAAAGTATAGATTTTTACGATTTTAGATTATGGTTTATGATATAAAATATCAATATTGGTGTGACTAATGTTTATTTTAAATTTGAATGTCCCTGATTTTTTAACACGTATTATTTAATCAATGRAAAATATATAATTTATTATGTTAATGAGATCATTAATGATGAAAAAAAGTTCATGGGAACGGGGTGTAAATCTATCCCCTTCATAAGTYCCTCTCTCCACCATGTTTTACTTATAYTGGACGTCCACGTTTCCTGTTAAACATGTTTGATTAATGCGCAGSAATAAAACCTTGTAATAATAGTAATAATATTAAAATATATGAAAACTTCCGAAACACACCTGGTTGAATGAAATCTGGTGCAAATTGTTTGGCTGTGAGTTTCGCAATTTCATAATCCTCTCGAGCGTGGTCCGCTGCGATGTCAGACAGTTCCGCTTTTCCCCTCGCTGTGGCCATCCTATAAGATAAAATCARTTGTAAAATACACAATGTGTGATACACTAGTATGTGTGGTGTAATAATTATTATTTAATRTTTGTTGTTATTCTTTAAATTTCAATAAGCGTAGCTGACAGTATCATAGCTATAGGGCTAGGATTATGATAATATGTGATTTTTCTTAGTCTATTATCATAGCTCCGTAAGTGGAACATATTATATTATCGTTAATAGCGATTTTTCAAAATTAAAAAATTAAATCTATACATTTTGTACAGAACTAAACTTTATGGCCTGCAAAGTACATACTGGTTTCGACTTTTTTTATACTTCAAGCACTGTTATTAAAAATTTACCTATTTAAACGGTTTCAAGTGTTTCCAAAATATACCGACCTTATAATTCGTAGTTTGATTATATTTATTTAAATTCATTTAGTATTTTAGACTTTAGTATATTATTTTTCTGGTGCATATTTTACTACCTATACTCTTCTTTTATAATTGATTAATATTATTATAATAAAAGTAACGATGTTTTCGGTATTAAAAATATCGTCATTTTAAAATCACTGAGTCAGACAAATTTATAATTAATACACACAAACAAAAAATKGATATTATATGCATTCATGTGTTATTAATGTGAGAAAAATATTTATTATTATAATTAATTTGAAAAAATTCTGTTTACAAAAATGTCATACACATGTGCTGAACTGTCAACTTCAAACTTTGGTATTTTATGATTGTGCTCGGAGAGAAATAATAATATTCTTATAATATGACAGCATTATTATATTGTTTTTAATAATATGATTACGTATACCTAAATTAATAAATTTAAAACATTTATTGAGTTTTATTATTAACATATTAATTTAAATGTCAATCAGCCAAATATCTATTGTTTTGAAATGTATTAATTAAGTGAATTATTCAGGCAAGGATTGGCAAAATAAAAGTTATTGAAGCCCACAGACTTATACCCCTCTTATCTACGTTGTATTACAATATGAATATGATTGCATAGTAATAAAATATATAGTAGCTTACAATAATCGTATAATGCTCCTGCATGACATTATATTATTTTAAACGAAAATTTGCGTTATGTTTTGTACAATTAATTCATAAAATTAATTWAATTAATTAAYAAAAATATTTTCTAAAATATCAACAATTTAATAAAAGGCAATTATTTTGATTTTTTGATTCATAATCGTTGAAAATGAAAACTTTTTGAAAAGGCGTAAAATAGATACATATTAAACTCTGAAAACTTACTAAGATCTACTTCTACTACTTGTTATTTAATATATACAAACGGTCTACCTAATTATAATATTTTCTCATTAATTAATAAACTTTAAATAAATATGAAGAAATAGACACACAAGAAACTTCCTACCACTAGGTCTTTAAAATATAAAAGTAACTTTATGTTATTAGATTTTTATTAAATAATAACATAAAAATCATTATTTTTATTATTTTTATTTAAATTTCTATACTAAACTTTTACGTGTTTTCTTTTATAGCAAATAATTTATAATGAAATGTTGGTAATTAATATTAAAATTATCCACATTGATTTGTTGAGATATTTATGTTAATAATATTCAAATTGATTCAGAAGACAATTTCAACGGTATGAATAATATCGTAGATTAAGTATTTCAAAAATTGACCAAAATGGAATTTCATTAAAACCATAATTAAAACTTAATTTTTTCGTGTATTCATTGTTAATAATGATTGATACTCCTATTAAACACTTAACGATTCATTTTTATTAAACTGTCTAATACAATTTTATCAAACCAAATTTCTGGGTAAGTGTATGGGACTAGGTATATTATTGATATGGGTCCTATGAATTGCACTGAATTATCTCAAATAAACAATGCTTAACAAATTACTTGCCCAACAAATCTCTGTTAAAGCAATAAATTAATTCATATTATATTTAYGAGGAAAATGTTTTTAATAACCTGAATTGTATTGTGTTGAAAATAAAGCACAAATTATGTARGCTGATGCTGCATAATATTTACGTAGGTAGGTACGTAAGCAAACTATTGACTTCAAATAGCAGATCAGATAAAAGTAAAACGACGATGACCAGTTAGTACCTATAGCAGCATTACGTTATTCATATGGATTTATKAAAATTGCTAAGAACTACTGCAGGTGGTTCGTATAAATAAGAAACAAATAATTGTGTTATATGAGTATATGAATGTGAGTTGACTATGGGATCGGGCACATCTTTTTTTGTAAATAATGATTTGAAAACGTTTATTATAAAAATAAGATGACGCCAACTCGGTTCAAACATCAATCGATTTTTTTAAGTTTTTATTTTATTTGTTTCCTTTTGCGAATTGATGTAGCGTGTGATGGCATATTTTTCAATGTATAAATATAATAAATTATTGTTATTATTATAGAACGATTAGAACGAATATTGGTATACCGTCGATAGAAGTGGTCAAGTGTACAAATACTTARATATACTTGTGTATTTATAAAAGATAAACGAGTTCTTGATGCTTCAAAAAATTGAAACTAAAATCTGGATCAATGATTATGAAACGAATGAAAACCCAAAACTACACGTGAAACTACTCGTTCGATCATCTTTAAATTTGTTCATATGGAATAGTAACGTACGAGTATACAGATTATTTAATCAATTATCTGTCAATAATTAATACAGTGAAACATAGTATTAAAAATAAGTCTCAAGGGTAACCAGAAAAATTCGTACTACGAATAATTACGTTTAATAAAGTTTGATAAATTTGATTCTGGTTTGGTAATTTGTTCTCAATGAAGTTCATAGAAGTTTTACATGAGTTTTTAATTTTTTTAAATAGAAGTTTCACTGTATACTTATAATAGGTATACAAACCGTACGACGGTTGTCAAGGATGATGCAACTTACCTTTTTCATTACGTGACCGATCGAATGTACGTACATTTATTTCATGTCTATGCGGTGTCTCATAATAGAATTTCACAATCGTGTACGCRACCAACGAAATAAAATAAATGTKTAGAGCAATAAACTTATTTTTAAAGGCGATTACATGAACAACGATTCTAAGCTCTAAACTATAACGGTCCGGAAAGCTTCCACTTAATGTATAACAGTAAATTCGCAATACTCACTCAGCACCACGAACACGTATAATGATATATAAATATTAATGAAGATTCGAGTTGAAATAAAAGAAAACTATTGTATGCGATCTCAGAGGCATCTATATGAAAATGGTTTTATTTCAATATTAAAACGTATTCAAAATTAAATTAAAATTTTTAACAATTTAAAATCTGCAATATTATTTTAGATATTTAATTTACGATTTGATAAATTCATAATATCATGTTCATGGAATTATTATAAATTCGTTTAAAAAATAAATTAGAAAAGTAGAATTACGTCAACAAAATCGGAATACCTATAGCTAAAACTTCAAATTGTTTTATAACTGAGCAATTTCTACGACATTTTAGAAAAATTGACAACATTCCAAAAATTAACTTAAAATTTTTRGGTTTTAAGCCGTACCTACTTATCTACATAAAATTAATTTGAAACTTATGAATAAATTGGAAATCTGACAACATCCACCCCCTATTTTTAATAAATATAAAAATTCTCAAATGCTTTTTTGTGCAACTATCATAAATCTGTAAATTGCTCTATATTTAATCTGAGAAAAATATTTATGACAATTTTTCGTTATTTAACTAAACCATTATTATTTATAATTATGGTACTATGAACATTTTTTTTGAATAATATTAATTGGATTTTACGCACTAAAAGATTATTAGTTTTTTTCTTTTAAAGCTGATAAAAAAAACACTCAATCGTGTGATTTTAAAAATAAAAGGTATAATCACGAGTTAGCAACGTTGCATTAACCCTATTTAATTAAAAATCATGTTGTATTTAATGAATTCCTTTRTTCTTCGACAAATACAAATGTTCCCAAAAGGGTAAATAGATTTTCGATGATGCTACATTTTTCCTTTACCATCTCTCGATCRCTAGATAATGAAATATGGATCCATTGTGCAAATACTGTTTGTGAAAATTTCGTTGGCTTATGAAAAAAATGAGAAAAATTATGTTTATTGTGACTGCAGCTTTAATTTAATTCTTTTGTAAGATTATGTTATCTATTCTAAATATCTATATATGTATATTTTGTTTAATAGACGTTCAAAATGATAGTTCTTGTTCAGTCATGTTTGATATAGCTATTACCAAAGTGTACTGCAAGATTAGTATAATAATTATCATTAATTAAAATAAATTTATTAATTAATAAACACGTGGCACTCGTATGCCTTTAATAAGTGGCAATAATTAGCCAATGCATAAATTTCGTGGTCACCGCCCATTTAAAATGGACATATACATAGATATTAAATAAAACAAATAGATAGCTGACTCTATAAGCATATTGAAGTCGGTGGACATAAACTAAAGGTTAAAAACAATCGATTAATCTATGAAATTTATGACTATTCAATGAAATATAAAATAACAACAAGTAACAATATACGTTGGTGTTTATCAGGTTTATCGACGAATTGAGACTAAATCGTTGTATTATCATAAAATTCATGATACAATTAAATATTTTGGCCTGTAAGAAGTGTTTCCAAAAAAAAAAAAAAAATTAAAACAATAAAACAATTTTGAAATAGGATCACTATCTACGAGACATTAGAGTTTTTCTTTCAAAGCATGTTTTTGAGTAAAAACCTGGTCACCTGGTGCATGCCCCTTAATTTCAATTTCAGTTATTTGATCTATACCCCTGCAGGTGGGCGTTAGAATACACCGGTGGTAGTCCATATCAGTCGTAAAAGTGACCAAATAATGGTCAACAGAGTTGTTTATATTAAGCATTGACTTATCAATGCTTCAACAGCACCTCTTATTTYTAAGTGGTGCTACTACGATGCAGAAGGAAGGGGAAATCACTCCATTACC